TCTCTTCCCATACCAACAAGTACAGAAACGAGTAGAGCAGCTTAGATACCACTGGACATTTAAGATCTGATTTTCCAGCTTATTTTTTTGTAACCTTACAGTCACAGAAAAAGTATCTAGGAGTGTTTAGAAACCCCCCCCCTCTTTTTGATAACATGGTAATGTCTTTTTTCTTTTTAATGAAAGTATAATTTCTATGTGCTAAGATTCATCCTTTCTACTGCATTGTTTATGAGTTTTGATGAATGTGTGCAGTTGTGTAGAGACCAACATGATCGAGGTAAAGAAAATTGTTGTCATCCCTCAAAGTTTTGTCTGCTTATTTGTAATCCACCTTTTCCCCGGCAGTCAGTAATCTGTTGTTTATCCCTATAGTTCTGTCTTTTCCCCGATGTCATAAAAATGGAATCTTACAGTATGCGGCCTTTTTTTTCTTTACAAAATTGTGATAAGATATGTTTAACAAAATTTATCATCTGAACCATTTTTAAGTGTATAGAGTTAATTTTATTCACATTGCAGTGGAATCCATCTGTAGAACTCTTCATATTGCAAAACTAAAACTATGCACAATTCATTCCTGTTCTCACTAGTGAGCCAGTACCTGGCAAACACACTTCTATTTTCTATCTCTATGAATTTGACTAGGTAACATATATGTGCAGTCCTACAGTATTTGACTTTTTGTGACTGATTTATTTAGCCTAATGTCCTCAAGCTTCATTCACATTGTAGTATGTTCAAAAATTCTTCCTTTTTTGGAGTCAATTATATTCCAATTTATGTATATACCACACTTTGTTTATTCACCTGTTGGTGGATACTTGGGTTGCTTCTTTTTTTGACTATTTTCCATAATACTATTATGAATATTGTTGTACAGATATCTGTTAGACATTATATATAGAGAAGTGAAATTACTAAGATCATATGGCATTTCTAATCATAATTTTTTGAGGAACTTAAATACGGTTTCCATAGCAACTGTGCCATTTTTACATTCCCTCCAACAGAGCACAAAGGTTCCAATTTTTCCATATCCTTGCCAATGCTTTTTTTCTGTTTTTTTTTGTTTGTTTGTTTGTTTTTGGTTTTGTTTTTATAGTAACCATACTAATGGGTACAAGGTGGAACACATTGTGGTTTTGATTGCATTTACTAATGATAGTAATGTTGAGTATCTTTTTAAATGCATATTGACTCATTTGTATATCTTCTTTGGAGAAATGTGTACTTCAAGTCCAAATGTCACCTCATTAATATAAACTCCATGTAGCTTAAAAGAACTTATTGTAAGTAACAATAATCACAGTTTATCATCATGGCTTTGAATTAATTTCAGAAACTAAGAACAAAAGACCAAATATTATAGCAAATGATCATTGCTTTCATTGCACAGGGAATTCCAAAGTTTTTGGAAACTGTGAGTGAGGAATTTTTGACAAAAACCAAAATATTATTTATTATAAACCATAATATTACAGATACATAGTGTGGGCTATTTATTTTTAACTGAGGTAATATTTGGATACTCCCATCAGGTATTGTCACTGTAATGCACCCATCACCCATTCACCTATAGTCCACCATCATAGTCCACTGTGCTTCCTTCCCTCATATACTGTTAACTTTTTTAACAAGATAATTGTATGGGGCCTCTCCGGTGGTGTAGCGGTTGAGCGCTGGGTTGTGAAGCTGCCCGCAGCCTTTGCAGCGCCGGTTCGATCCCCGGCTGCTCCCCGGCCACCGGAGGAGGGTCCCACATGGCGCGCAGACCTCTCCTGCCGCCCGCTGCTCCCCTCAGCAGTGTACTTCGGTCCTTCTGCCCGCTCTGCTCCCTGCTCTGGCTCTGGTGAATTCTCTCACCCTCCCGCGCTTCTGACTGTACCCAGTGCGTGTATAAATAAATAAATAAATAAATAAATCTTTTTTTTTTTAAAAAAAAAGATTAATTGTATGTATGAGTTTGTTTGCTAAAGCTATTCTAACAAAGACCACAAAATGGATGACTTAAAAAATAGAAATTTATTTTTCACAGTGCTGGAGGTTAGATCGAGGTGTCAGCAGACTTGTTTCTTCTAGGATCTTCCCCTGACCTGCAGTTGCTGTCTTCTAATGTTTTCATGTCATCTTCCTCTGTGCATGTCCATATCCTAATTTCCTCTTGTTATAAGACCACCAGTCATATTAGTTTAGGTCCCACTCTAGTGACGCCATTTAATATTCATAACCTCTTTTTAAAACCCTATCTATAGTCATTCTGAGGTACTACTGGTTGGAACTTCAACATATGAATTTGGAAAGGACACATTTGGGCCCATAATACATGGAATTAAAAAAAAAGCCAAATGTAGAGATCATCTAGGATAGCCCTGTCCAGTAGAACTTTATGTAATGATGAAAAGGTCTATATCTTTGCTGCCCGATATGATAGCCACTAGCCACATGTGACTATTTAATACGTAAAATATACCTAATGGGACTAAAAAGATTAATTTTTACCTTTACTAATTTCTGAGCAGTTTAAATTTAATTGGCCTCTTGTAGATCTGGTGACTAACATTTATAGTTTTTGTTTTTTTTTTTAAAGATTTATTTATTTATACATGCGCTGGGTACAGTCAGAAGCGCGGGAGGGTGAGAGAATTCACCAGAGTCAGAGCAGGGAGCAGAGCAGGCAGAAGGACCGAAGTACACTGCTGAGGGGAGCAGCGGGCGGCAGGAGAGGTCTGCGCGCCATGTGGAACCCTCGCCGGCAGCTGGGGATCGAACCAGCACTGCAGAGGCTGAGGGCAGCATCACAGCCCGGTGCTCAACTGCTGCGCCACCAGGGGAGGCCCAAACATTTATAGTTTTTGACTAATCTCTATTTGGCAAGTGAAGTATAAATGTTTGAAAGACTAGTCTAAGATCGTACAAGTAATTATTGAAATAATTGTGATGTACACTGGGTTCTCAAAACTCTTAATGGACTTTGCCACCTATAGACTATAAAATAAAACCTAAGGAAATAAAGTCTAAAACACCATATTTTTTTTATTCTTTTTCCACTATAAAACCACATGTGGTAATTTTATAATTATGTAGCTTCTTACAAATGGATTTTAAAAATATTCAAAACAATTTTTTCTTCTCTTTAAGTTTTAGAAGCTTAATATATCAAGTGTTTAAATTAGTTCAGTAAGATTTTCATTATCAGAAGCATTCATTTCAATAAAACTCATGTCTGTAGGGGAAAAACAGGCAGGAAATTTTTTTAAAATCTGTAATTCCATTAGAGCAGTTGAATCAATGCATACTTTGCTCAGAAACTATGAATCTAGAAAATCAATTCACAAAAGAAGAAATAGAGAAAAGCTTTCTTTTCAAGGATAAAAATAGGTTGCTGATATTGCTAGCTTATTTTTTTTTCATTTTTTGGTAAAATTTAAACAATTTTAGCATTCATTAAAATATTTTAACTTTTCATTATACTATTTTAACTTTTAAATAGTTTAAAATATTTTAACTTATTAAACTAATTTTATACTTGTAGAAGAGTTATAAAAACTGTACAGAGAATCCTTGTATGCTCCTTCACCTAACTTCCCTTAATGTTAACAACTTCTATAACCATAATAAAATTATCAAAATCAGAAAATAACTAATACTACTAACTAAACTACAGACCTCAGTCTTCACCTATGTCCCTTCTCTGTTCTTGGAATTTGTCCAGGTTCCCAGATTGCGTTTAATTATTTCTTCTTAGTTTTCATTCTGTTTCTCAGTCTCATCCTTTTTTGATACATTTAAATAGTATCAATCGGTTATTTTGTAGATTTCCCTTGGTTTGGGTTTAAACAGTGTTTTCTCATTACTGAATTAAGGTTGTGCATTTTGGCATGAGTAATGAGAAAATGATCTTGTGTCCTCTATACATCGTATCAGGGGCTTCATGATGCTGAGATGGCTTGCTCTTGGTTATGAGTTTTAGAAATCTTGGTGAGAGGAACTATGCTTTCTTTCACATAGTATACATTGAAATTACTGTAAAATATCAGTGCATCAGAACATTTACTCTATAGTATAAATGACTTATCAAAAATCAAAGTACCGATTAAAGAAAGCTGTTAACATCACTAGTTAGCTAATGGGGCGAGTTTAATAGAATTTCACTAGTAGGAACTGTTCAATAATGAGAAAGAGAAACCACCTTTTTCTTTCAAATGAGGCAATTCTTTCTTCATTGGAAAGTTAAAAGAATTATTAAGAGAAGGGTCTTCTCAATTAATGGAATTGTCTTTGTAATAGAAAATCGTCTTGGTTGAGATACTTAACTCTGGGCAACATATGAAGTGGAACATTAAATGAGAAAAAAGTGATTCGTTTAGGTTTTTTTGTTCTATATATAACACTGGAATTCTATCAGGAATTAAGTTATTAGGACCAGTTTTTAAGTTTAGCCTGTAATATAACCCAAAATCAATTTATTGCAGCAAATTTTTACATTTTGGACATTTAAAATATTCTAAATAAATTGAAATAAACCAGCAATCATTTGAAAAGGAAAACATGCTCCAAACCTTATTGACATTAAACCATCTTCATTTGTTTTATGAAGGAAGGAAATTTACTTTAGGCTTAATGCTCTTAAAATATGTAGTACATTATTAGGTTTGGCTTATGGATTTGTTTAGGATATTATATTTATTCCTCAAAAGAGAATAGATAGAAAGTCTTTTTTTAGGTACCTGTGTCAGTTATAATGAAGATGGAAACTATTCCACATTAAATCTACCGCTTTAGTATTTTCTAGATCTTCACTGCGAATATTTCATTGAAATAATTGTTTTTATGCGTTTTGAATTGTATTTGAAACATACATAGACTATAAAGAAAATAATAGATTGTTATTATTAAGTATTCAAAGTAAGAGTATTAAGTATTAAGTAGTAAGTATTAAGTATTCAAAGTAAGAGTATTCAGTATAATGGGTGGAGTATTCTTTTCTTTTCTTTTAGTTCAGCAATCAGCAAACATTGGGAAGCTGAACTGGCTACCCTCAAAGGAAATAATGCCAAGCTCACTGCAGCCCTGTTGGAGTCCACTGCCAACGTAAAACAATGGAAACAACAACTTGCTGCATATCAAGAGGAAGCAGAACGTCTGCATAAGCGGGTAGGTCCAGGGATGTATGGCTAACACATTTCCTTGTCAGAGGAAATGTACATGTAGGTTCAGCATAGTTCCATCTTCTGAAGATTTTCATTGGTTGTTGAAACATATATATGAGTTGTATATATACATGGATTTATTCAGTGAAAAAAAATTTTTCTACAGTTTAATGAGAACGAAGAATATATAACTTCTGGAGTCAAAAGACCTGGTCTCAAATTCCTGTTCTGTCACTTATTAGCTGTGCAACTTCAATGAGTTATTCCCCTTTAAGTAGGAATAATATATACTTAGTGCAATTTCTAATTGAGAAACTAATTGACATTTCTTTGCTTGGAGCCTAAATGATAGATGCTTTTATTATTTTTATTGTTTTTTAAAGAAGGAATAATGTAAAAAATATAGATAGGGTTTTTTTTTTTAATAAAAATTGGTAGTATTGGGAATTTGGAGCAGGAAAAGAAAATCAGAAATCACAATATTATTAATATCAAAAGCACAATTACTTTAAAAAAATTTTTTTATTCGAAGAATATACTTTCACCAACAGGAAGAAAGTGCTACTAATTCATTTTTAGAAAAAAGATGCCAAACAATTGAATGCCACAGAAATGGGTTTAGTACCAGAGCACAGTTTGAAAAGTGTACTATACCCAGGGTAACTGGCAAAGCAAGATAGAAATAGAATAAAGACTGGGAGGGAGAGTAACAAAACTGAGTAAATATCATTCTATCCCATGTTAATTTATAAGGAGGAATTAGGAAGATGTTATTTAATGAGTAGTTTCCATTTTGTAAAACTTTTTTTGCAAAAAGTTCTGGATATTTGTTTCACAACTGTGTGATTATATTTAACTGAACTGTACACTTAAAAATAGTTGAGATGACAAATTATATGTTTTTCATTGACATAAAAAGTAAGCCATAAGCCAATATAGTCATTGAAGAGATACCTTGTCTACATGTTTTATCTCCTGCCCACGGTAATTTTGCTTTAAATAGTCAACTGAATTTTAAAGAATTTAAGAGGGGCCTCCCTGGGGGTGCAAGAGGTTAAGCATCACACTATGAAGCAATCCGAAGCCTCTGCAACACAAGTTCAATCCCTGGTCGGCCAGCGAGCAACCCAAAGGCGCAGCAGACCTCTCCTGTCTCTCCTGCTGCCCCCCTCAGCAGTGTATTTCGGTCAGTCTGCCTGTTCTGTTCCCCACTCTGTCTGGTGAATTCTCTCACCCACCCCCCCCTTATCTCTGGCCTGTACCCCAGCTGTTGTGTGCATAAATAAATCTTTAAAAAAAAAAGGAATTTAAGAAATAGAATTTTTTAATTTACTCACCTATTTATAATTCTCAATGCTCTTTTTTTTCCTTCCTGCATATCTATTCAGGTTAAATAACTTTCTTTGCATTTTTTTTTATTGCATGTGTACTAGCAAAAATTCTGTTAACTTTGATAAAGACTGGTTTTGTCATTACTTCAGGTTGCCTTTTCCCTATTTCTTCACATTTCATTATTTTTCAGTTGTGTTCTGGACATTGTAAATGAGATGGTGTAGAGCCCATAGATTCTGTTACTTTATTCTGAATAGTATTGATTTTGTTTCAGTAAGTGGTTGAATTACCTTAAATTTGTGAAGAAATGGACTTAAAGCTTTATCTGAATAAGTTTATTTCAGTTTTGCTTCTACTTTTAGCACAAAGCCTTCACTCTTGGGATATCATGATCTCTAAGGCACAAGTCTTCTGGGGTTTCAGTGGAAAGCTTTAGGTATTTGCCCAGGCCCTCTATACACTTTATTGAGAATGATGACTAAACTCAAACATGATTTTGTCTTTTTGTGGTGAGCACTACCATGGGTAGTGCTTTAAACCTTCCAGTTTTTTTCCACCTTCCTAAACTTCTTACATTCTTACCTGTGCATGTGTAGTTCAGGGGTCAAAGATCTGAGGAAAATCTATATGCTTATTTGGCAGCTTCCTTTCCTACAGTGCCTTCCATTTTTAACTATTTCCATTTGTTTTGAGGAATCTCAGAGTTCAGGCTTCTCCAGGAGATAAGGCTTCTGTTTTCATTGCAGTCGAGCAACACAGCCAGATTACAGAGTGCCTTCACACAAAAAGATGTGTAAATGTTTGTCTCATCCAATGTAATTGCTTTCTCTTGGTCTTTTGCCCAATTAGGGTCATTGAACAGTTGATTTTTACATTTTGTCTATGATCTGCAATTGTTATTTACAAGAAAGTTATTCTAATAAAAACTACATCATTATCAGAACGCCCATGAGGAATTTATTACCCAAATGGACAAAGAAAACTAATAAATATCAATTCTTAAGATTTTTGAACATATGTTTCATTTTGTGGACTAGAGGACAGGAATATAGAGGAATGGCTCTCTGGAGAAAGTGTGTGCTGAGTTGGAAGTTGAGAGTTTATTAGGATCTGAATGGTTTTCAGAGGTAATAAAAGGCATTCTATAATAGTTAAATCAACAAGGTGAATATGAACATGGCTTGTTCTTCCGACAAGGAGACTTCCCTATTTTTACTTCAAAGTACACACTGGGTATCTTCAGCAATGAGGATGGTTAAGTAGATTGAAGCCAGTGTATAGAGGAACGAGGGCATAGATTTGATGTTATAAAAGAAATGAGCAGTTGAAAGACTGAGTGGAGAGGAGTTGCCCAGTGAAAGATAATGTTAGCTGTTAACAGAACAGATAAATATAGATAAAGATTATAATTATATCCCCTGGCAAGCCATTGTTTTTATTTAGGGTTCTGAGTCTCAGCACAAGGCTATTAGTACATAAATAGAAAGGAACAAAATGATTTGAGGGATAGAGTGACAGAATGTGAAGGACGATTAGGTGTTTGGAAAATGTGAAGGAGAAGAATTTGCTGTTTCCTTAGTTGTCTAGTTGTCTAGAATTTACTATATTCTAATCATCTAAAATGTATGAGATCTTTATAATATGTCTAATATCTAGAAATAGGAAATGACTTATGACATCTATGCAAATGTAAAATGTATGAGATCCTAATATGTATAAAGAAATGTGATGTTTTGTGTGTATTTGTGTGCAATTTTGTCTATTTTGACCATCTTGGATAGAATAACTTTTAAAGGACAATTCTCTCTTCTGCTTTCTCAAAAAAAGCATGTGCTTATTTATTTATTTAAAGATTTATTTTATTTATACAAGAAACTGGGGTACAGGCCAGAGCACGGGAGGGCGAGAGAATTCACCAGAGACAGAGCAGGGAGCAGAACAGGCAGATGGACTGAAAACACTGCTGAGGGGAGCAGCAGGCGAGACAGGAGAGGTCTGCTGTGCCATGTGGGTATCTCCCTACCTGTCTGGGAATCGAACCCGTGCTGCAGAGGCTGCAGACAGCTTCATAGCACTGTGCTCAACCTGCTGCGCCCCTGGGGAGGCCCAAGCATGTGCTTATTTAAAGTTAGGTTGTTCTTTGGCCCCTCAGTACTTTTTGTTTTGTTTTGTTTTGTTTTGTTTTTTAAAGATCTATTTATGCATACAAGAACTGGGGTACAGGCCAGAGATGCGGGGGAGGGGTGAGAGGATTCACCAGAGACAGAGTGGAGAACAGAACAGGTGGATTGACTGAAATACACTGCTGAGGGGAGCTGTGGTCAAGTCAGGAGAGGTCTGCTGTGCCATGTGGGTTGCTCCCTGGCTGGCCAGGGATCGAACTCATGCTGCAGTGGCTGCGGGTAGCTTCATAGGTTGTGTCTTAGCCCCTTGCGCCACCAGGGAGGACCTCTCAGTACATTCTTATTGGCCAAAGAACTGTCATCTTTTGTCATGAGAGACACTATTGATGTGAAGTCATTTTATTATTGAATGATTTAAATTGTATTATAAGTATATCTTTTCTTCCACATTCTCTTATATTTTAGAAATGTTTGAAAATGTTTTTAGAAGTGTTTGAAAATTTCTGTCCTCTGTAAGGCCTGTTTTGAGACCCCATATTTATTTTGAAGGCTACAGGTAGAAGACAGATGACTATATCTGATTTTGGGTATGTTTTTAGAAGAAATTTTTGAAGAAGATTTTCATTATAAGGGCCCTCTACTGTCATTAATCACTTAATTTAAATTTTCCTAACCTTTTCTGACTAGACCATGTAAATATGTAATTGTTTTCTTATGTCTTTTTTCTTTGTCCTAAATTCTTATCTTTAAAGACTCTTCATTCTACCCTCCATTGCATTAATATTTCATAATTAATTTTCACCTATTGCTTCAAAATTCTTCATTTCTTTGACCAGAAATCCTTTGAAATTGTCGTATTGTTTAACATGTGTTGTCATTTAATTTTAGGTTACCGAACTTGAATGTGTTAGTAGTCAAGCAAATGCAGTGCATACCCATAAGACAGAATTAAATCAGACCATACAAGAACTGGAAGAGACACTAAAAGTGAAGGAAGAGGTATTTGTTACTTTCTACTCATCTGTAATGTAGCTAACATATGTGTACAGAATAATAGAGTTTGTGTCACATTCAAAGGCATTTTATGCAATAAAATAAGATTGTGGGGGTTTTTTAAGATGAAATTTTCCTTGAGTGATTTAAGCTTGTCAATAATTTTTTTATCCCTGTTTCTGTTGTTGCAAACTGTGAAGAAGCCTTTAGACTGAGATACTGCCTGTTGCCTTCTGCATGAAGGTTGCTTTCATACAATCAACAGAAAATATGTTAGAGGTTAAATGAATTTTACAAGTTGTTGCTTTCTCTTGTTTCCAGTAAAAGGATTTAAAACCCTAGAAAAGAATTATTTCCACAAAACTTGAAGCAACATTAAAATGTTTAAATTGTTATTTCTAAGTAGTGTTTTGCCAAAACTTCCAAGTTAGACTTGTTGCTTAATAATATTCTGTTCTAGACAACATATCTATAAAGATTAATTCAGTCAGTATAAACATTTAAAATAATGTTTTTGAATCACCTTTTTTTCTAAGGATTGCGACAGTAATTTCAAGAAAAAAATAAGGCTTTCTCTTTTTGCTCTAACTATTCTAGGAAATAGAAAGATTAAAACAAGAAATTGATAATGCCAGAGAACTACAAGAACAGAGGGACTCTTTGACCCAGAAACTACAGGTAAACTTTAATAAAATTTGTAGTCATTTCTGCATAGAGAGGCATAAATCATTCTTTCACATAGTAATGGCTTTTTCATGAGACTCCTTTTTGTAATGTTTAGTCATTCTTCTTTTGCAGAACTTGTGATTCATGCCTAATCATTGATTTTTCAACGATTACTTAATACCTTCATCTAGGGTAGCATATAATCATCATAGATGGTCATTTGTAAGTTATTGGTAATAAATTATTTTAGAAATTTAGACTTAAAAAAAATGCCCTAAATTCAAAGAAAATTTCTGAAATTGATTTCATTCATCATGGGAATTCTGCTTATTTTTTACACTTAATTAATAGGTGAATAACAGCAGTAGTTGTGCCTTAATAGAAATCAAGTTGGTGCTTTTTCTGCCTTTATTCTAATTTCACTTGGTTTTATCTGCATAAATAGAATGTTTTCTGATTCTAATTGATCCCTATATGCCCTGTGGCAGTGGTAGCTGACCATGGTTAAAAGAGATTTTTCAAAATTTATTCCATACTCTCGTCCTTCCAGATCAGGTACTTTTCTTATACCCCTTGGCTAGTAGCTGCAGTAAAGAAGGATTAAAGCTACTTTAGGATTTGTAGTAGAGATAAGTATATGTAGAAAGAAGAATTTGAGATAAAGAGAGATGTGGTACTGAAAGCCCAGAATTATGGGCAGTATCAGTTTGTAACAAGAATGGCCAATATTTAGTGAGTACTTGCTATATACTGGAGTCTGCTAAGCTCTTATGTTATTCATTTAATCCACATGAGGAAACTAGAACATGGATGGTTTATCTTTTCCAATCTATATTGAAGTGGAGATAGACAAATTCTATGACAATAGACAATAGATTCTTCATGAAGAAAACAGAGTCTTTATATGAAATGAAATATTTTTCTCTCCCTCTCCCATCACTGGCTTTTAGCTATCTGAGGAAAACAAGGTTACTTGTTTTGGTTTGCCCTATTAAATTTGTTTCTACATTTTAATCATCAGTGTAGATTAGTAGATCTCAACTGAGATCCCCAGGGTGCCCCAGGGTACATTTAGAAGTGTATGGAGGCATTTTTTATTTTCACAACCAGGCCTATGCAGCTATCATCTAGTAAGTCAGAGCCAATGATGCTGCCAAACATTGAATTATCCCACCCAAAATGTCACTAGTGCCAAGACTAAGAAGCCCTGGTGTAGAACCAAAATTTGAAGTGTAATCAAGTCTGAAAGAAATGAAGATGCAGTCCAGTTTTGTCTTTTTTTTGGTCTGGTTTTGGCTTCCATTTTTTTGAGTACTAGCTCTGATTCAGGCATATGCTAAGCACTTAACATATATTAGCTCTACTGTGTTTAACACATTAAAGATGTGATTTTCCCCATTTTCAAACTAGTTCAAAAGTGTTAACAAGTTTAATCTAGGCACTTTTCTAGAAAGTAGTGAGCCTACATTTGTTTTGATTACAAAGTCTTTGTTCTTTATGCATTATCACACTACTTCAGGCAGTCAAGCATCCAAACTACCTAACAATTCCAGAGAAATCAAGAGACAATTCATTCATAACAGAATTCTAAATATATTTTGTCAGTGATTAGGCAACTTTAAATATATTTTATCATTGATTGAGCAACAGTTAATTGAATTTTACAACTTTTACAACTGGTACCTGGAATGATGAATATCCATTCTTACCTACTGTTTCACTAAATTTCAAAAATACTTATCAAAACAATCTACCTAAAGCAGGGGAGGGAAGTTTTCAGAAAACCTCAGGATGAATTAAAAAGCCATAGAAATAACCTGTATTTTTTCCAATTAAAAGAAACTTTTTCCTTTATACCCTCCCACCTTAAAATATCTGCTTTTCAAATGTCCCAATACCCTTGAACTTCTGTTCATAAGTTCTTTATAGAAAGTTGGATTCATTAAATTTCTTGAGTGGTAGATAAACTTCTGTAATTGCAGTACATGGAATGGGTGGTAAGTATGAATATGGATAGAAAAGTCATAGTTATAGGTACATTAAAATATTATGATACAATTTTTCCAAGTTTTTCCCCAAATATGAGTATAACATATGCGTATTGTAAAAAAAATATAAAATATTTTGTAAGTTCTAACAAGATATAATTTACAAAAATATAATTTATAAGGAAACATAATGAATCACAATCCCATCATCCTAAGGCAAAGCACTTGCATTTCCTCCCTTCAGTTTTGCATAATTTTTTCTGTGCATGAGACACGTAGACACCATTTTTATTTTGTTTTCCTAACATCACATTGTAACATAAGGCCAGTGGCTGCATAGTGTTCTCTTATATAGATGTGCCACCACTTCCCAACATTACTACAGGGATGGCGATTTATGTTGTTTCTGGTTTACCTATAATAAATCTTATTTAATTAAACTTTGCCTTTCTGATTATTTCTTTAAGACAGACTTTTAAATGAGAAATACTTGGTGTCAGTGTTTTAAAATTTCTTAGGCAGAGAAATTGATATCTAAAAAGCAGGATACCCACTGGTTATTGGTCTCCCCTAATCTTGGCTGTCTGACAGCTCACATAGTAGTTTCTTTGTCTCCCTCCTTGCCCACCTCCTCCACAGCCTTTCCTGTTACACACTCTTTGTAATATCATATTTTCTTTTCCTTGTAGCATTTATCACTATCCAAAATGATCTTGTTTGTACATTTTATTTTTAAACCGTTTATTTCTAAATTATTTATGACAGAAAAGTTGCATAAACAACACAAGGATTTTTCATATACTTCTCATGTACATCTCCCAAATGCTTTGCCATATTTGTTCTGTTTTTCATTCTGGATCTTTCTCTGTATCTCTACGTATTACATTTTTCCTGAAATGTTTGAGAATAAGTTGAGATATGGTATCCTTTTACCTCTATATACTTCACTATGCATTTTTTAAGAGCAAGAACATTCTGCTGCATAACCATGAAAATTAAGAAATTACAGTCTCTACTCAAATTCCTATAATTGTCCTAATATTTTCCTTTACAACAACTTTTAAAAATATGTTTTTCTGGTACAGGGTTCATTCAGTCTTGCATGTTGCATTTGATTGTCCTATTTATTTTGATGTTCAAATTATTCCAGATTTGACCAATCAGAACCCTTCAGTCCAGACTCTATGTCCTTTTAATATGATCACATCATTTGTTAAAGAACTTCATGTTTTAGCAGAACTTGATATTCTAGCCCTGGGATTAGCTGTTTCTCTAAGGAGAAAATTCTTTTTTTAAAAAAAGATTTATTTTATTATACATACAAAACTGGGGTACAGGCCAGAGGTGTGGGTGGTAAGAAGATTCACCAGAGACAGCATGGGGAACAGAACAGGTGGACCGACTGAAATACACTGCTGAGGGGAGCAGCGGGTGAGTCAGGAGAGGTCTGCTGTGCCATCTGGGTAGCTCCCTGGCCAGGAATCGAACTCATGCTGCAGTGGCTGCGGATAGTGTCATAGGTTGCCTCTTAACCCCTTGTATTACCAGGGAGGCCTTCCAAGGAGAAAATTCTTTTAGCAAAGATTGTTATTTCGAAACTGAGATCCAGGCACTAGATGTTCTTTTTGCTATTGTGATAACATTTCTTCAGGTTCCTCTTAATAAACACAACTAGGAGTATACATATACCACCACATTATGTCCTATATATATGTTTTTAAAATGAATTTATACTCTGCTCCCAATGTAGTCCAATGTGAAGTTCATTGTAAGATTCCCAATTTTCATATTTCTAATTTCTTCCCCAAAACTAAGAAAACTGTCCCATTCTCACAGTGTATTTACTTACTTCCTCAGTCCTAGAAAGCATAGAATGTAATTTCTGAATTGTTAATTTTATACCACTGCAAGAAAAAAAAAACCTTACCAACTAGACAGCAGTATAAATTTTTTTATGTTCAAAAGTTAGTTGGATTAGTTTTTCCCTTTCCCGTCTTTGATTAGATTATTCATTTAAGATGCAATTATGTTCATTTGTGTTATATTGGATTCCAATTTAGTTTTTTCTTCCCCATCCTTTTTTAATTATATATATGTGTGTTTACTGAGTATATGAAACACTATGTGGTCCCCAAAGTCAGAATTATTGAAAAAGATATCTTTAAAGAACTATTATATCTTCTTATCTCTTCCAATCAGTTTATCCAAGTTCCAGCCCCAATTTTTCTATGCTACAAGTGGACAGATGTATCTTTTTTACTGTCCCCCTATTTCTACACAAATGGTAACACACTCTAGATTGCTTGATATACAGCTTTTTCACCTAGAATATGTACTGAAAATCACTTTATCAGTTCATAGATAAAAATCATTTTTTTATTTTAAATAATAGCTCTTATATATTGAAGAAAACCTAAGCAGGCATCTTCCACAGTATGTCAAAAACCCAAGACATTTGCCCATTCACACAGCAAATTTCTTGGCACCCAGAGCCATGGCTTTCTCACAGTTGACATAATGCTGAACTTTTCCAATTCCACAACACAAGGCAAGCTCTGCTCTTGGTGATTATGAGGATCCCATCTGTACCTACCAAATATACAGTGTAGGTGATTCCAGCAAGCTTTAACACTGTACAGTGTAGAGTAGTGTAGATGGTATAGAGAAAGATTTTAGGGAAGAATGAAATAAAAGTATATTATTAGGAATATTGGAAGTACTGTTTTACATATTATTTTTAACTCAGTACTTTAGCGATTAGATGGAGTTTGTAAACCTGAAGATTTTTAAGAGCATTTTTGAAAGTATTATACAATCAGACTTTCAGAGATCATTCAGTTCAATTCAACAGCCTGCTAAGCACATCATCAGGTGTGAATTACAAAGATCAGCAAAGGGATCATGCTCAGCGAAATAAGCCAGAATGAAAAAGAAAAATACTGTATGGTCTCACTCATAGCAGGAATTTAGAAAACCTAACTAAGGGACCAGGAAGAAGACTAATTATAATAAAGTAAAAATCAAAATCAACAAGAAACTATAAACCGGAGACACACTACTGGGGGCGGGGGGACGAAGGGAGTAGGATCAAAACAAGGCTGGTGGGAATTGTATGGGTGCTATAACCAAGATGAAAATGCATACATTGTGCAAAAATGAAAAATGGTGTAAAAATATATGTAAAATAAAAAAATTTGTAAAGTGTACAATAATCATATAAATGCAAGGAAGTAAATGATGCTTTGAGAAAGTAAAAAAAAAAAAAAAAAAACCACTTTTCTATAACTACAATACTTTCAGGACAAAGTCCGGGCTTATTAGAGCATTATACAAATTCCCCATAACTCAGTCCCTTATGTCCTACAAAGTACAGTGCCCTGACATACTATGCTGTTTCATGCTTCAATGTCTTTGTGTAACACAACTTTTTTCTCTTTGGAATTATCCTCATACCATCAACCTGCCAAATTTCTATTCATACTCTTAAAATCCAGTCCAAGGGACCTTTCTTCATTCCCCTTTCTCTCTCTCTTTTTTTTTTTTTTATATCTCAATAACCACTTTATTTTTTTTAAATAATAAATTTTATTTTTATATTCCCCATACAATAGCAGCACTATTTACAATAGCTAAGCTTTGGAAACAGCCCAAATGCCCAAAAATAGATGACTGGATCAAGAAGATGTGGTGCATATACACCATGGAATATTACTCAGCATTCATTCCCCTTTCTCTTGTTCAGGTGTCAGGTGGCATCACATTCTTCTGTTGACCTGGTTTCCCTTTTTTATAGGACTGGGAGGAGCATTTTTTTTTATAGCTATGTAGTACTTAATTTGTATATGTGATGGTTTATTCAGCCACACTCCTTTATTATAGGTATTTAGGTTGTTTACAGTATTCTGCAAAGTATAGCAATAAATAATACTTGCATAGGTATTTTGTTATTATTGGATGTATATCTTCAGAGTAAATTCTAGAAGCAAGATTACTAAGTGAGAAGCTAAATAGTTTCATTCAATATTGTTAAATTCCCCTCTTTAATGACATGTACCAATACCCTTTCATACCTGCAGTAAAAGTGAGTGTCCGTTTATCCACAACCTCACCATTAAAACATACTGTCATACTTTTTAACTTATGGCAATGTGTGATAGGTCAGAAATTATCATTTTAGTTTGTATAGCTCATATAATGGGTGAAATTGAATATCTTTCATAAACTTAAGGGCAATTTTTGCTACTTTTATATGTGTGGATTGTGTGTTCCTCTCTTTTGGCTTTTACTCTATAGGTTCTTTAGTCCTTTTTCCAGTGAATTTCAAGGGATCTTTATATATCTGTGATTATGTCACAAATATTCTCTAGCTTGTCATTGTTTTTGGTCTTTGCTTAAAGTGATGTTTTTGTTTTATGTAGTAGTGAAATTTATCATTTCTTTTATTATTTCTGGCTTGGCATCAGAGGTAGCTCTTTTCCAAACTCATACAAAAATTTATCCATAACTCTCTCTAGTATATATATGGTTTCATTTGTTACAATTAGAGCTGTGATTCATTTGTTTATTCTTAGTAATATTTATTGAATGAGTCAAAATTTCTATATGTGGTTGCTGTGTTGTTCTTCTGTCAAATTGCTAGCTGAATTGTTAACACTGTCTTGATACTTATATGTCTTGCTGTATATTAAGGTTAATTATCTAACATGGTAATAATATATCTAGCTTGTTAGAGTTCATGATACGAATTATATGTCAAGAACAGCATTTTTTCTGTAGTTCTATTTAGATTAAATAAAGTTTAGATTTAAATTTATAGAAAATTAAATCTGATGTGGCCCCATTGACATTGGTAGTAATTGTTTAAAATTTTTTTAATCATGCTGGAGTTTTAGGTTCCATATCTAACTGATACAAAACATGACCTTCTGTCCACTAGGATATTATACTTTCAGTTATTGCCCTTTCAAGCTCTCCGAAGGGAGTTAGCAAATTCTGTCTTCCAATGCTTTATCTAGGCTGAACCGAGCCTCTGAGTGCCTTGGCACATGTCTTACATATCTGGAAATGAGAAAGGGAACACAGTAGGAAAAAAAAATGATAATAAGAAAATGATAATAAGAAAACTGTGTTAGGAGGGAGAATAAAAGGCAAGAAGGAGGAGGATTGGAAAATACACAGAAGGTAGAAAATCAGAAAATTCTACCAGCTAGGTCTCCCATGCTTCATATTGACCCCTGTGCACTGGGCTGTCTGTGCTTGCTCTATGGTCATGTTCCCCACTGCAGAACAGGCCAGCAGCATCAGCATTGTGTTGGGTCACTTTTGTTATATGCCTAGTAAAATTCCTCCAATCAGAGAAATGGCTATGAGTGCCGGACTCCTAGACAGAACAATTCAATATTAATAACTGAGGGAATTTTGTATTTTGCTTGCTTCCATTGAAAATGTTTGGGTGTTTCATTGATTGGCAAGGAGAACAAGGCAGCCTTTCATTTCTAAGGAAGGCTTTAGAGGGCAACTGGGTGGTGCCTGTTGAAGTGGGTGTTTTCTAGTGAATGACTTTTAGTCTATTTTTATAGTTGAAAATGTTCTACTCTTAACCTTATTGTTTAAGCAGGCAAAAGAGCATGCTGTGCAACCATGAATGGAATTTTTACATTTGATCTCAGGGTCTAATTTTCTCTTTCATAGTGTAGAAGCTCCTTGAATTTGGCTTCTGAATTTATAAATACTTTATTAGTTTCAGATTTTACTCTCAGTTCACCTGTATATTATTCAAAGGCAAAAAGATTAGAACTATACCTGTTTAATATCAACAGTAAATACTTTAGAATTAGATTGGGATTCCTTAAATTCTTCTTTTATAAGTTATTATAGCTGCTTTTTTCCTTTCTTAGTTTCCCAGACTTGCAATTTATCTGTGGAATCTTTGCTTGAAATTTGTTCATATTTATTTATGTCAAAGCAAGTGAACATTTCCTTATGTTCAGAATCCTAAACCGAGTGTTGCTTTTGTACATGTATTTGAGCCAATTTCCCAGTTATCTTTCTGAAAACTTTAATTTTTCAGCTATTAGAAGGCATAATCCCATAATCCCAACAACCAGAGTTACTTTCTGTTGTGCATTAATTCTTAATGTTTGTCCTTATTGATAGAAATTTGTGCACAGGTGAAATGTGTTGCTTCATGTTCTGTTCTTTTTATTTAACATTCATCGGTCTTTCAATAATTAAAAAAAAAAAAACAGGGCCTCCCCGGTGGCGCAGCGGTTGAGCGCTGGGTTGCGAAGCTGCCCGCAGCCTCTGCAGCGCCGGTTCGATCCCCGGCTGCTCCCCGGCCACCGGAGGAGGGTCCCGCATGGCGCGCAGACCTCTCCTGCCGCCCGCTGCTCCCCTCAGCAGTGTACTTCGTCAGTCTGCCTGCTATGCTCTCCCCTTTGGCTCTGGTGAATTCTCTCACCCTCCCGCGCTTCTGACTGTACCCAGTGCTTGTATAAATAAATAAATCTTCAAAAAAAAAAAAAAAAATTCCACTATCATTTAGACTTGGTAGAAGTTTTTTTAGAGATTTACATTTAATGATATATTAACACTTAAAACATTTTCTGAGGCTGATTCATACTGTGCAGCTAACTTCAACATGTCTTAATTGTCCCATATAATTTTCATATATGATTATAATTTGTGTCAGTCATTTAATTCCTCACAAATATATACATGAACTTTCCAGAAAGGATATATGACTTTGCTTATCTGAATATCTTATTTAAAGTGTAATAGTTTTTTAGGTATAAAGTGTAAATTTCTGTGTCTGAAGTGTGATAGACTTCTTGCTGTTTTTCTCTATTTAATTTTTTTAATCGAAACTAAATCTTTACCTCATGGCATATTTTATTTTTTAGAATCACTTATTATGTTTGTCATGATAGGAAATACTTTTAAAGCAATAATCACTTCTAAATAACTCTTAAGCATGCCAGATTTATTGTACTAAAACAAATTAAAAACATTTTTTTGTTCCCATTTTTTCTTTCCTTGGTTTGGAATATGTTGGATTGTTAGCTTTGCAGTTCTCTTATATGTCCTGTCATTATATATTGTCCCCACAATTTTTAGCATTGAGCTATATTCTCGACTACACCCATTCATCTTGATACTGAGGCAAAACAAATTATAATTGACGTATTCTGAGCATCCTAAAACCTCATCTTGGAGAGTCATTTTCTTCTTTAAATCTTCCTCTAGAATTGCCAATGAGGATAAGAAACTAATTTATTTCTTTTCCTGCTTTCATTTGAGATTGCTAACATTGTGCATTAGGCAAAGTACTTGGCAGAAGTAGAAACGAGATGCAGAGAGTCCACAAAATGGCTCTTCAATCCTGTCGTGGTATATGAGGTGCCTAGAGTATTCTCTGGCATGAAGTAAGCAATCAGGAAATTTTTGTTGGATGGAGGGATAGATTCCTGAACAATCCAGTCACTAAAACCACATGGATTTCTCAAATGACAGAATCTGAAATATCTTTAAATTGTGTTAATGTGAGATTCAGAAGCTCATCTGATTGTCAGATAGCATTAATTACCATGATAAAAGTGAAAGTTATATGGTTGTCTAAGTCATGAACTGACATACATGCATTTATTGAACTTTTGTTTCTAAAGGAAGTAGAAATTCGGAACAAAGACCTGGAGGGACAACTGTCTGACTTAGAGCAACGTCTGGAGAAAAGTCAGAATGAACAAGAAGCTTTTCGCAATAACCTGAAGACACTCTTAGAAATTCTTGATGGAAAAATATTTGAACTAACAGAATTACGAGATAACTTGGCCAAGCTACTAGAATGCAGCTAAGGAAAGTGAAAATTTCAGTGCCAATTGATTAAAAGATATACTGTCTCTCTTTATAGGACTGTTTGGGCTCTGCGTCAAGATTGCACAAAAAAATTTAAATATCACTCCTCCAGGAAGAGGATCTTTTGAAAATTGGAATTGTATATTTCAGTGTAAACTTTAGAATTCAGCTTGTAGCTAGTTTGGGGAAAAAGAGATGAAAAACTTGAACTACAAATTACCTCCATGTATATTATTGGCCATAGTTAACTAGAAAGTTATAGACAATTAATGCAATCTTTTTTCTGATATTAGCCAATGGGAGAATTAACAATGTCTGGGTCTCATTTCTCTTTTGTGTTCAACACAGTGAAGGTTATCTGCTTTTTAAATTATTTTATTTATGATATCTAAAACTGTGTTTTGTGCAAAAACTTAGTGATGAAAGCCCTGTCTTTTGTTGTAATCTGAATAATTTCTCAGGATATTTTTGCACTGCTGAGAAGCAGTGCCATTACCAATTAATTCTTGCCAGGAGTGAAAGAGAGCTGCATCTTTAAATGAAACATACTTACTCTAACTGGGTGTATAGAGTTCTTCCCTTTTTTTTTATACTGGAAGATATTTCACTCTGGTGACCACTCTGGTGTTCTCCAATCTTGTCTGCTGTATAGTTTACTTTTCCATATTGATTCCATGTACTTCTGAGAAGATATTGTCTCCCATTTTATTACACATTTTAAAGCCAACTAATGAAGGCAGCTGAGTCCCTCAGAAATTTTTCTTTTTAAATTTCTAATAAATTTGACACACAGTACTGAACTATAGCAGCCCGTCACTGACGGTCTGGTCTAGCAATGTTAAGTATATTAACAGAATATGCAGTTACTTTATTTATATATTTTGCAAGAAATCTTTTCTGAATGATCAATGCATTTCAATTTACAAATATTAATGGTTATTGGGTAACTGTTTATTATAGATCATTTTAAGGTGTATAGCTATTTTAAAGGGGATCCATTTCCATCAAACAGCCTATCAGAGGACTATTGGAATTGGAGCCGTGTACTCTGTCTGGGTCTTCACATCAACCACATCTTTAGTCAAACCTCACAAGGCAATATTCTGAACTGTTAACTAGGCATTTCAAAACTAGGCATTTCAATTCAATAGACTCTTCTCAGTGAACAGGTTTTAATGTTGTTTTGATGTAATTTTAAAAGACTTTTAGCAAACATGCATTTCTTTCTATATTTCTTTTAAGAGGCTATTTTAAAAGTAAGCCAAGTGCTGTCTAGTCTGCTTATGGAATAGGAATTGCATCAAAGTCCATATATTCTTGCTGTACAATGCCTGTGATGTTGAGGAGGGTTCTTTTTTAAGTGTATGCCTGAGTATCTGACTCTATGGAGTTTGCAAATGCACTGACTTTTTGTTTGTATCCCAAAACAATTGAATTGTTAAGTACAAAATTAAGCTAATTAATCAATTTGTAACCATTTTTTTCACTCACAAACAGCTACTTAAAACTAGATAATTTTGTTTTATATATGTATGTGTATGTATGTGAATACATACATATTAATTTATATTAGAGTGAAAAATAAATGGTTTGTTTCTAAAGTTAATTTCTAAAGTGAGTTTTCAGATGTCTATGAAAGTTTATATCAGACACTTAATCATCACTTAATCATCAAGTAGTATGTGTGCTTTAACATCATGTAAGTTACCTCCATCTTAGGATATTTTCCTCACCTATTTAGTGTGTGGAGGATAATTTAGGTACACAAACTCAGAGCTGAAATTTTTCTCTGATAAATCAGATAGTAAAATGTATTTGATTTATTTGATTGGAATTTTGAAAATAGAAATTATTTAATCCATCAGTTTCTGAGTAACAAAGAGCACCAAATTTTAATTTAAATAGGGGGTTTAACTCTAGGAATCAGGGAATTTGGTTATGAAGAGTTAAAAATTTAAAAAAACAATTAAGCTGTTGAATGGTAAGTGAATTATTTTAATGCTGTAATAAGATATTTTAAAATTTTCACATAGTTGTCATTTAATGGGAAAGTAATTCACCAAAATGTCTCCACTTGAACTGTACTGATATGCGAGACATGTGTGTAATTCATATGCATATACCCATATGTCTGTACAGAAAATTATTTTTAATATTTTCCTACTGATATGAAATTTAAAATTGGAAATTTTGTGAGTTTTTTCCTTTTCCAATAAGAGCCTAATTTTTTTTCCTTTTTTAGTGATTAAGCAATTTCTTGAGGGCTGCACCTTTAAATTCCCAGATTGTCATTTAGGCATGTACAGTAAATGGGATAAGGTGGACACAAGTGCACATATAAATAAAATCTTTAGACTATTTTAAATATTCATTTACAGTAGGAGAGTATCTAGATTCCTTCATCAATAAGTCATAATTAGGTTGTGTGCCTACTGTAGTTTTCTCCATTTCTGTATTATATAAATAAAAGTTTGCATATTAAAATTTGATTTTTTTTCCCAGAGATAAGCATTATAAAATGTATCTATATTTAGATCAAACTGTGGTAATATATTTATCAGAAAATAATGTTGGGGATGATAGCCTGAACATGTGGACTTGAAGTGACACAGAAAAGGAAAGCAGACTGATCCCATTGTGTATAAGTTATTATATGACAACTATGAATTCTTGTACAAAAACAACTGAAAAAAAAAGAAAAACAAAAATACAATTTTTATTTTGAAATACATTTGTTGTTCTCTGAAGAATGTACTTTATCCTTTTTTTCCTTTAGTCTTTTACAGATATTTAAAAGCATTTAAGTGATGGCAGCATTTACTTAAATCTTACAGGTGCTACTGGATTTTGCATTAGTGTGTTATGTTGTGAAATCCTAACTTTGACATAAAAGGTTTTATAAGTATTTCCCTGCCTGGAAAATTAGTTTTTGTTTCTCTCTCTCTGTCTCTCTCTGTCACTCCCCATCTCTCCTCCCCTTCTCCCCCCCTCCCTTCTCTCCTTCTCTTTCCCTTTCTCTCCCTCTTTCACTTTCCCCCTCTCCCACATTAAAATGTTCATGAAGTTGCATCCTTCCTTGTCCCCAGAGGAACTCAAGCACCATCTTAGATTTAATGTTTTGCTGTCATTGAACTGTTGGGAAGCAGAGGAAAAACGTACTTTTTTTTTTTTTTCAAGTGGTACTAAAAGGGACACTAAAATTAAACCACCACCATCTTTTAAAACTCATTTCTTTGCCCTGTTAAAATTAAATTTATTCTTTAACATGTGTGCTTACAATTGTCTATGTTTTTATTTAACTCTGGAGTATACAGTTCAGCTACTCTTGTGAACTTGATTTTCTGTCAGTTCTGGAATGGGAGGCAGGCCAGAAGGAAAATTTGTTTGATGACTGTGGATTTGTTTTGTTTTTTAAGAAACACTTTCATTTATTTGATATCAAATGATTTTAACTTCCTGAAATTCTGTACTTGAAGTCATGAAATAGTCTTCATTGAATTTTTATCTTCTGGATATTTTTTGCATTGTTTCTTTATCACTCATGAAGTAAATTAATTTATATAAAATCTTAAAGAAGAAAACCTTCAGGTAAGAAGTATTTGAAAATAACACAATTTTCTAAAAATAATTTCTCAAGTAGGATACTGTGGTGTAATATTTGTTGAAAAGATAATTTTCATGTGAGAGTATTTTTAAAATTACTAGAAAAGTATTATTCATTAGACTGGAAATAGATGTATAATTTGCCTTTATATTGTGAAATTGTGTTTTTGCCTAATATGTCAAATTAGAACTTAAATTTTTATGAGTTTTTCTTTGTGGGAAACTGATATCGCACAAATAGAAGTATAGTTATTGAATTAAAGAAATGTTTTTCATTTTTTGATTACATGTTGCTAGTAAGATAGCTAGCAGTTTTAGCCAAGGAAAAAAAGAACTCAAAAACTCAATCAGCACTACACTGCCTAGTGATTTGTTTAGTATACTAGATAGAAAGAAACAGTGTAAGTCATTTTTGCCAAAAACAGATGACCCAAGAAATAAATTCCATCTGAACTAGAATAAAACAAATGCCACAGCTCCCAATAGACTTGTAGAAAGAACTCTGATCTCTTTAAGGACCCTTCAGTCCTCTAGAGGAAAGGATACATTCCTGAGACCACCAGTAGTAGGTTTGGAAAAGGAGAGGATATGTATTATGATAGCAGAATCAGAAAAAGAGCACAGTGGCTTTAGGTTTTTTCTCTATGGCATATCGAAATAGCCAGAGACACATAAAGTGCCACGTCTACTTTGCTGTTGCCTTTTTTTTTAATTATTATTATTTTATATATTTTTACATCATTTTTTATTTTTGCACAATGTACGCATTTTCATCTTGGTTATATTCCCCATACAATTCCCACCCCCCTTAATTTGACCCTACTCCCTCCTCCCCTCTCTCCCCCATAGTGTGTCTCTGCTTTATAGTTGCTTGTTGATTTTGATTTTTACTTTATTATAGTCTTTTTTTAACAAAAAGGAGTTGGGATTGTCCTAATGAATTTCAGAGGCTTTCAAGAGATCCTGTCATTTGTTTGTGAGGATGTTTTCCCATATAAGACATCTAACTTTCAGAACTCACTGAACTGTGGGATTCTGACCAACTTTTGTTAACTATTTTCATGTCAGATCTACACAGATAAATATATTATTCTGCTTTGTCCTAGTAATAACAAATTAAGATGATAATGGGTACCAAATAAATTCAAAGTTAAACCCATTTCTGCAATGTAGAAAAATGTCTTCTGGGTATTTTTTCTTATCAACATTCATTTTATCTTATGATATATAATTGTTACTATATATACATACATATATATATATATAGTAGATCATATTTAGATGGCTTGTGTATGTGACTTACCTAATTGTTGTACCTTAAGTAGAAGGACTGTTTCAGAAAGCATGGGTAGAAAGCAGACATACTTAAAGTAAATGCTTTCCCGACAACTTCAGTGTGAAATGGAACAGAAAGGACTATTTGTTGAATATCGGCTATTTGACAAGTACTGTACTAACTTTGGCATTTCATTTTTATGTATAGGCCCCCTTCCAAGGGTATTCTTTTGGAAGGAGGAAGGGGTGAAGGAAGGGAAGAGGCTGATATGATCACTCCTGCTGTGTTCTCCCAAAGCTCAGCTGGGACATCCATTATGCCAGGCAACAGGTGGAGAGCTTGTTCACATTTCTGGTAGAGTTTTTCCCTCTAGTTTGCCTGCCTTGCCTCTAGAATATCTCTGTTAGCCCACTTCTTAACAGTATATTTTATATTTGCTTTTCTTGAACTTCTTCCTACAACCACCTTTGGTGTTTATAATGCTTGTTATCATTCAGTTATAAATTATACTGTTTATAGGCATCATATTTATGCAATATTTTTTAGTCCCAATTTTTTTTAACTTACAGGCTTCAGATAAGCCAGAGAAATAAGTCTCATATGCAGAATTTCAGTCTATAAAATTTAAGTAGCAAACTATATAGAAAGATGTTGGGAAAGCAAGGTCAACAAACAAATTGTAAACTATAAAACTCATCCCTTAATACTAAACAGTAGTTCAGCAGGATATGACTTTTGCATTCAGTTGTGGGTAAGTTGTGGTCAGTTTTGCTTCCACAGAAGTTAAGACCTTTCCAGGTTGATCAAACTGTTAGATCAGCCACATTGAAGTAACGCATAGCTGTAGAAACTTTAGCTGGGTGATACTAGAGATAAGGATGAAAACACTTCATATAGTTCCCAATTGGGACAGATGTTCAGTGAATAATTATTAAAGCACTTGGAACTGTATTTTACTGGACATGGCATATGTTTTTAAAACCCAGAAATTTCATGTACTTAATTGTTGACCTTTTTTTTGTGGTTGCAGTAAAGGATACATAGCATAATATAAATGTACCATTTAACCATTTTAAGTGTACAATTCATTGGTGTTAAATACATTTACAATGTTTTATAACCATCATCATTTTCTATTTCCAGAACTTCATCATCCCAAACAGAAAGTCTATACCTATTTAACAGTAATTTCCCAATCTTCCTCCCCCAGTCTATGAGAATCTCTATTCTACATTCTATCTCTATGAATTTGCCTGTTCTAGGTTCTCATGTAAGTGAAATCATGCAATATTTGTCTTTTGGTGTCTGGTTTATTTCACTTAGCATAATGTTTTCAAGGTTTATCTATGCTGTGGCATATATCAGAATTTCAGTCTTTTTCAATGCTGAATAATATTCCCTTTTAGTAATACACCACATTTTGTTCATCCATCATCTGTTGATGGACATGTGGGTCATTTCCATCTTTGGGCCATTTAGACAATTGTGCAAAAACAATCATGTACAAGTATTTGAGACTCTGCTTTCATTTCTTTAGGTATGTAGCTAGGAGTGGAATTGTTGGATCCTCTGGTAATTTTATGTTTAAATTTTTTAATAACTGCCAAAGGATTGGATTCATTTAAAGGACTCATAGAACAGGTGACATCTCTCTGGTACTTTAGTCATGTTGTTAGTGTTTTAATAATAGACCAGCAAGTGGTCCATGGCCTCTTAGTGATGCCTTCTATTCTATTACCCAAAACATTTATTGAGGACCTGCTATGTTCCAGGCCCCAACAGAAACTAGAGAGACGCTCACAACTTAGTACAGGACACAGAGTTACTTCCAATACGTATGTGCTATGATAATGAAGTGCACTAATTGAAGGGAGCCTAGAAAAAAGGAGTCAAGAATTCTTCCCAGAACAGATGTTAACTGACTGAATCTTGATGGAGGAATAGAAGCTAGCCAATTGAAGAAGAAATGAAAGAATTGTAGAAAGTATCATGAGCAGAGGTTCAGAGAAATGAAAACATTGAGACATGTAGAAAATTAGAAGGAGTTAGAACATTAAAATAACACTAAAATGTTTAATAACATTTAAATGTTATTCCCTAACATTAAAATGTTAGGGAAAGGTTTGACAAAAGAAAGTGACATAGAA